CTGATGGGCTAATCTTGCATCTGCCCACAGTCCCTGGGTGTTACAAGGTGGCTTGGCCCAGGGACCACTTAGGGTAAGTGTTGGCCCCATAGAGCCTATGTGATGGGTTTCAGGGGGTGCACTGCCCATAATAGTGTATTCAGCCAAGCCTTGTAACAAAGGCTGAGCCGAACCCATGTGACTGATGTGTAGATCAATGTTTGGGTTTCACGCCATACAAGGAAGCCCAACTGGGCAGCAGCTAGGAAGGCCAAGTGAGCACATAACCTTAATGGGCCTAATACCCATTTCGAACTGGGCTAATTTAAGTAGTTAAATAAGGGGCGAATTCTGGGAATGGATTAGCAGATAGGATAGGGTCTTAACCCTATCCACTCAAAGAGTCCAGATCTGAATGTGATTCAGATATGGAAACCTCCTAATAAGATTAGAAGAAGGCTGATCTAATCTGTAGATAAGATAAGGGTTTATCCTTATCACCTAAAGGGATGTCTGATCAGCAACTCCTAATGGGATTAGGAGCTGATCCTTTAAGGTTACAAAAGAAGGAAGGGGCGGCAGCCTTTAGAAGACACATATTCACATCCTCTTTAGAGTTGAAATCACAGAAGGAAGAATTTAGCAACCCTGCGAAATTCTTTCTTGCCGCCTCCTTCCTGTTGCCACCTCACCTGCCAGTTCGATCTTCTTTTCAGTGGGAGAAATCAAGATTTGATCTTGATATCAATTCTTTGTGACGGGACTGATAGGAAGTTGTGCTCACGTGCCATCCTGCCACTTCTTGCGAAGGATTGGGTTCTTGGAGAGAACACTGTTGATTCTGCTCCATCCTACACTACGCCATCTTCAGTGGGAGCAGTCTTTGGATCGTTCCTTGGGCGTGAACACCTTCGTTAGGAGATATTATTTCTCCATATTAGGTATAATCTTCTCCTACTGCTTTTGTTCAGATCTGGTTCAGTTTATGGTTCAAGATTGATCATTGAAAATATGATTTTCTAAATAGGGAATGCGATTCTCAGTTGA